GGATTACACGTGGTCCTGGCCCTCCTGGTTCCCCCTTGGCCTCACAATGCCTGGAGCTGGGCCGGGAGTCGGGAGCTCTTCCAGGTCTCCCCTGTAGGTTCAAGGGCACAGGCTTTGGCTGTCCTCCACTGCACTATGTGAGGGAGTGAAGAGAGTGGCCCTTGCAGGGGAATGGCAGGAAGCAGGTGGGTGGGACCAGAGGCCCCCTCCCTGCCCGGAGCCAGCAGCAGGTGGGGGAGCCTGGGCCCTGGAGAAGCAGGCTACCCAGGGTCAGGCTGGTCCAGCCCTGGTTCAGGATTCTAGCAGTGTCCACACCAGCCACAGACTTGTCCGAGTGTGGGGTCCCGGGCTCCTGTGCTGGCTACCGCCTGGGAACTGTCCCAGCTGGGACCCCACACCTACAGGGGCTGCCGACCCCTGACCCTGGCTTCTGCTGCCCCTGAGCCAGCTGCTTGGCTAGAAGCTGCTTGGCTAGAAGCTGCTTGGCTAGAAGCTGCTTGGCTCCTCCAGGGCGGGCAGACGGGACGGTCCTGGTCCTGCTGTGCGGACCCCTGCCTGCACCATGACACGCTCCCAGCTGGCTTGCCAGGTCAGCACACGTGTGCCAGGATGTGGTTGCTGAATAAGATGCCAGTCACCAGCGCCAGCGCTGTCACCATGGCAGTGGATTCAACTCCACCAAGTGACTCACAGGAGCGAGGGTGTGGGCACCCAGCAGGAGCGGCGGAGCACCCTGAGGTAGGGTGGGGCTGGCCGCACTGGGCTCTGACAGCTAACCCTGATGCAGGTGAGTGTAAAGCTCACATTCACTTCTGGAAATTTCCACTGAATATTTTCAGATTTCCAGGGGTGCTGCACAATTGAAACCTCGAAAAAGTGAGGCAGATAGACACCACACATTACACCGGCATGCCGTGTAGATGCTGGTTTAAGTCCTGGTTGCTCCCCTTCCCATCATGGCCTGAGAAAGCAATCGAGAACGGCCTAGAGCCCTGGGACCCTGCACCCACGTGGGAGACCAGTTCCAGATCCCTGGCTTTGGCTCGGCGGTAGCTGGCTCACTTTTTAAAGATTTATCTATTTTTATTGGAAAGGTGGATATACAGAGAGGAGCAGAGAGAGAGGAAGATTTTCTGTCTGATGGTTCACTCCCCAGGTGACCACAACGGCTGGAGCTGAGCCAATCTGAAACCAGGAGCCAGGAGTTTTTTCCAGGTCTCCCACGCGGTTGCAGGGTCCTAAGGCTCTGGGCTGTCCTCCACTGCTTTCCCAGGCCACAAGCAGGAAGCTGGATGGGAAGTGGAGCTGTCAGGATTAGAACCGGCGCCCCGGGTTCCTGGTTCACTCTTTGAATGGTCATAACAGATGGCGCTTTGCTAGGCCAAAGCCAGGAGCTTTACCTGGGTCCCTGGTGTGGGTGGAGGGGCCTGAGCACTGGGTCATCTTCCATTGCTTTCGTGGGTGCGTTGGCAGGGGGCTGCACCAGAAGTGGAGCAGGCAGGACAGAAATGGGCACTCTACAGGATGGTGGTGCCGCAGGCTGTGGCCTAGCCTGATGTGCCACAACCGCGGCCCTGCCCTGACTGCAGTGCCTGTAGATGTTTCTACCCAGGCTTCCTAAGCAGGGAAATCGTGCACTTATTAATAGTACAGCTTTAAACTCATCAGCAAAGTATGTTTATTTTTAGATACGTGGGATGGACCACGGTTCTTTCATTGGCCGCGGGCACAGTTGCTACGTCAGCACATAATCGGAGCGGCAACGTTGCTGCAGTTTATGCATTGGTGCTGGCAAAGTCTCATGCCACAAATTTCTGCATGTCCCCCAGCCGGGTGGGCACTGGCACAGCAGTAAGAGCATTCCTAGGGACCTGCCTCCCATAGCAGAAGACCATGATGGAACCCCCATGCCAGCTTCCTGCCTGGGCACACCCAGGTACCAGCCGCTGCCACCACAGAGAGCGCTGGCTGCCACCTTGGCCTGGCTGGATACCCTGGCCCAGTCTGACCCAGGCTGTTGCTGTCCAAGTGCCCTCCGTGTCCCGGATACCACTCACCTGTGCCTTTTCTCCTCCCGCCTGTGCCTCTGGCATCAGTGAGTGGCACATGCTTTCACTAACAGCTGGACGTGGATGCCTCCAGACCCCCAAGCTCAGGAACCAGAGCCCAGGGTGAGTCCTGGCACCGGAGCCCAGGGTGTGTCCTGGCACCGGAGCCCAGGGTGTGTCCTGCCACTGGAGCCCAGGGTGAGTCCTGGCACCGGAGCCCAGGGTGAGTCCTGGCACTGGAGCCCAGGGTGAGTCCTGGCACTGGAGCGCAGCGTGTGTGAATCCTGGCACCGGAGCCCAGGGTGAGTCCTGCCACTGGAGCCCAGGGTGTGTCCTGGCACCGGAGCCCAGGGTGTGTCCTGCCACTGGAGCCCAGCGTGTGTGAGTCCTGGCACTGGAGCCCAGTGTGAGTCCTGCCACTGGAGCCCAGGGTGAGTCCTGGCACTGGAGCCCAGGGTGTGTCCCGGCACCGGAGCCCAGGGTGAGTCCTGCCACTGGAGCCCAGGGTGTGTCCTGGCACCGGAGCCCAGGGTGAGTCCTGGCACCGGAGCCCAGTGTGAGTCCTGCCACTGGAGCCCAGGGTGAGTCCTGGCACCGGAGCCCAGGGTGAGTCCTGCCACTGGAGCCCAGGGTGTGTGTCCTGGCACCGGAGCCCAGCGTGTGTGAGTCCTGCCACTGGAGCCCAGGGTGAGTCCTGGCACCAGAGCCCAGGGTGTGTGTCCTGGCACCGGAGCCCAGGGTGTGAGTCCTGGCACCGGAGCCCAGTGTGAGTCCTGGCACCGGAGCCCAGGGTGAGTCCTGCCACTGGAGCCCAGGGTGTGTCCTGGCACTGGAGCCCAGCGTGTGAGTCCTGACACCAGAGCCCAGGGTGAGTCCTGGCACTGGAGCCCAGGGTGAGTCCTGGCACCGGAGCCCAGGGTGAGTCCTGGCACTGGAGCCCAGGGTGTGAGTCCTGGCACTGGAGCTCAGGGTGTATCTTGTCACCGGAGCCTAGTGTGTGAGTTCTGCCACTGGAGCCCAGTGTGAGTTCTGGCACTGGAGCCCAGGGTGAGTCCTGGCACTGGAGCCCAGGGTGTGAGTCCTGGCACCGGAGCCCAGGGTGAGTCCTGGCACCGGAACCCTATTGATGATCGTCAACACTAGGAGAGAGGACCACACCCAGGGGCACCCTGAGGATGAGTCGGCCCTTGGGTGCCACTTCCAAAGCCTGAAAAACCCAGCAACTTTCCCGGGGCGATGAAGATGGTGGATGGAGGCCCAGCCACAGGCACTGACCAGAACTTCCCTGTCTCATGTCATGTGCCATTAGCTGAGCCCAGGGCAGGCAAGGCCTACGCCCCTGAACAGCAGGAAGCAGCTGCAAAAATATGATGAATCTGAGTACTTTAGAAGAGGGGTGTGGAGGTGTCACGGGCCAGTCCTCCAGCTGCAGTGCGTGTGTGCCAGTTCAAGTCCCAGCTGCTCTACTTCCCACCCAGCTCCCTGCCCGTGGCCTGGGAAAGCAGTCAAGAATGACCCAAAGCTTTGGGCCCCCGGCACCCATGTGGGAGACCTGGAGGAAGCTCCTGGCTCCTGGCTACAGACTGCCCTGACTCTCTGACCTCTGTGGCCACCTCGGGGTAGGAGACCTGTCTTTCTCTGTCTCCCTTCATGTCTTTAAATATGACTGGGAAATGAAATAAATACATCTTTAAAAAAATCGCTTAAAAGTAAGGGTTAGACATTGCAGGGGGGCAATGAAATGCAACCGGCAGGTGGCAAGTTTAGATGCACAAATGGGAAGCCACACCTCCCCCCTGTGTAATACTGTCTTCCTGTCAGTCAGACAAGCCCGCCCCCCAGATGGAGCCCCTCACCAGGACTCAGGGCCGGGGTCGCAGAGCCGCTTGCTCTCTGGAGGCCTGGTGCCTCTTGGTCCCCATGGACACGGGATGACAGCAGTAACATCTCCCCCCGCCCCCGCCCGCTCTAGCCCTGACTACGACCCACGTGAGCCTCAGAATTCCTCACCTTTTAAATAACCCGACAAGAAGGAACGCAGCTTGGTACAGTAGCCTAGTGGCTGAAGTCCTCGCCCTGCACACGCCAGGATCTCATGTGGGCGCCAGTTCACGTCCTGGCTGCTCCACTTCCCATCCAGCTCCCTGCTTGTGGCCTGGGGAAGCAGATCCAGCTGTTGCAGCCACTTGGGGACTGTACCAGCAAACGGAAGATCTTTCTGTTAAGCTGCCTTTCCAATAAAAATAAGCAAACTTTTTCTTAGGATTTATTTCATTTTGATTGCAAAGTCAGATATACAGAAAGGAAGATCTTCCATCCAGTGATTCACTCCCCAGGTGACCGCAACAGCCGGTGCTGTGCCGATCCGAAGCCAGGAGCCAGAAACTTCTTCCAGGTCTCCCACGCGGGTGCAGGGTCCTAAGGCTTTGTGCCGTCCTCGACTGCTTTCCCGAGCCACAAGCAGGGAGCTGGATGGGAAGTGGAGCTGCCAGGATTAGAACCGGCGACCCTATGGGATCCCGGTGCATTCAAGGCGAGGACTTTAGCCGCCAGGCCCAAAATAAACAAACCTTTAAAAAAAAAAAAAAGAAAAGAAAGAAAGAAAAGGAAAAGAAAGTAGATCCATTTGTACAGCAAATGTTGCTTCCGGAGCGTGGGCAAGACCACATGGGTTTCCGCTCCTCCGCCAAGACCCCGCCCCCGAGCCCGGCTCCGCCCCGCCAGGCCAAGACCCCGCCCCGAGCCCGGCTCCGCCCCGCCAGGCCAAGACCCCGCCCCGAGCCCGGTTCCGCCCCGTGACCAGGCTCCGCCCCCGGGCCGGCTCCGCCCCTACGACATCGGCTCCACCCCCGCGGCCGCCGCAGGTTGCAGTTGGACGGCCCGGCCATGGCGTGACGCTGGCGAGCGCGCTCGGCGGCGTCGCGGGCTGTGACGTCAGGCGCGCGCCGAGGGAAGGCGGCCATAGGCGTGCGTGGAGGACCAGTCCTACGGAGTCGTGGGGCGATCCCGGCGTCGTGATGGTTTCGCGTGTTCAGCTCCCTCCAGAGATCCAGCTGGCGCAGCGCCTTGCGGGGAACGAGCAGGTCACCCGGGACCGAGCTGTGAGGAAGCTGCGGAAGTACATCATGGCCAGGAGTCAGGCGGCTGCAGGTTGGTGCTCGGGCAGTGCGGGGCTCGGGCAGTGCGGGGCGCAGGTCTGGGCTGAGGGGAACGCAGGGCTGAGGGAGTGTGGAGCTCAAACCTGCCCGGGATGTCCCCTCTCAGCGTCTGTGTTAGGGTCCTCCCTCGCCACAGTGGGGAAGGGTGATCCATGGGGCGAAGGAGCATCCTCCCGGCCACTCCTGCAGGCTCCCACCTGGGTGGCAGGGACTCCAGCACCGGGGCGTTCACTGCTGCCTCCTGGGGCGTGGAGGCGGGACCTGAACCCAGGCCCCCTGTCCAAGCTGAGCGGGTACCTGGGGTCCCCGTCTGCAGGCGGGTTCACGCACGATGAGCTGCTGAAGGTGTGGAAGGGGCTGTTCTATTGCTTATGGATGCAGGACAAGCCGCTCTGCCAGGTGAGCCGGGTGTGGCTGGGCCAGGGCCTTCGTGGCTGGTGACCCTGGGGGGCCGGGCTGTGCTGGAGTGACCCCTTGGTGACCCTGGGGGGCCGGGCTGTGCTGGAGTGACCCCTTGGTGACCCTGGGGAGCTGGGCTGTGCTGGAGTGGCCCCTCAGAACCAGAGCTGGCTGGCCAGCGTGGCTCCTGGTGACCATGGAGGCCTGTGTGGCTGGAGGGCCGGGCTGCGGTGGAGCAGCTCCTCGTGACTAGGGCCGCTGGCCAGTGTGGCATCTTAGTGACCCTGGTGGCTGCGCAGGCCACGCTGACCATGCTCCAGGCCATTGGCTTGTGTTTGTCCTGGTCTTATGCCGTGTGTGCTAAGACACTGGAAGTCGAGGGGCAGGACCCACATCTGCCGAGACCAGGGTTCTCTGCCGCCTTGGGGTGGGGTCCCCGGGTCAGGCCGTGTGCACCGCTGCCCAGTGCCCTGGCTGGAGGAGGGCCTGTGTGTGCTGCTCTGCTGTCCAGGAGGAGGTTCTGGAATCTTCTGCCTCAGCAGGTGTCCGACACTGGCTAGACAGGCAGTGAGTGAGCCATGGGATCTGGCTGTGGTGTGGCCGCGCGTCCTCCTGGCCCAGGCCCAGCCCTGCACGTGGGCTTCTGGGCCGGCTGTCCCTGTGACTGCCCATGCCCCGGGGCTAAGGGCTGTTGTTGCCTCACAGGAAGAACTGGGAAGGACCATCGCCCAGCTCATTCACGCCTTCCAGACGCCCGAGGCCCGTGAGTATGCCCCACACCCCGAGTCCAGCGGACCACCCAGCATCCTGTTCTCATGGGCAGTGTCGCTGGCGTGGAGCGGCTGGGGTCCCTGGTCCCGTGTGGTGGCGTCATGTGGACATGTGGGCCTGAGCCGTGTTAGAGGCTGCGGGCTATGGACCTCGTGTCTCAGGGCAGGAGACTTGCGTGACAGCACATCCCGAGGAGTCCTGAGACTGCGGCTGGCCCAGCGTTCTCAGCCGCTAGCAGGGCTAAGTGTGCCGTGTGCAGCACCTCGCTGGGCCTGCGTGAAGTGCCACATGGTGTCAGGTGGCCCCAGCCTGGCCCTGGAGCAGGAGCCGAGCCGGGTGTTGCTGGCTGGCAGTGCTGCCGCCCTCATGCCCGTCCTTCAGAGCAGAGCTGCGCTGTGGGGTGCGCCACACGGCTTCTCTTTCCGAGGTTCTGAGCTTTGGTCACGGAGTGGCCCTGCTGAGCTCTGCCCTGGCGAGGCTTCCCGGGGCACAGGCTGATCCCACCCGCTTCCACTAAAGGTAGCTTCTGTCATGCTGGGCGTCTCTCCTGCAGAGCACCTGTTCCTGCAGACCTTCTGGCAAACCATGAGCCGCGAGTGGTTGGGCATCGACCGGCTACGCCTGGACAAGTTCTACATGGTACGGCTGAGACCCTCACGATGCCCTGGCACAGGGTGATGGGCTGGGCTGACCTCCCCACGTGTGCTGTGTCCCTGCTGGGCCCCAGAGACCTGGGCAGCAGGCTCCACACGGTCCTGAGATGAAGGGACGTCGCCCCTGGCTGGGAGCTGGGGACTCCAGGTGGGGAATTTCAGGCCTCGTGAGGACACGTGACCTGCGTAGCGTGGGTGTGTCCTGGGCGTGAGGCCTGTGCCCGTGTGTGGGAAGCAGTGGGGGACGCCCCGGGCACACACATGGCAGGGTGTGAGGCTGCTGCTGGGTCTCGTCCTGTCGCCCTTGACAGTTGGGGGTCTTGGCGTGGTCCCCGCTGCCACCTCCACCTGCTGTGTGTTCATGGAGGACAGGTTAATGAGGCCATGCCCCTGCCCTGAGGGGCTCTGCAGCCGAGGGGGGCTATGGGGCCCCCTGGGGCATGCTCCTTCTAACGTGCGTCTGTGTGTAGCTCATGCGGATGGTCCTGAACGAGTCGCTGGAGGCGGTGAGAGCGCGAGGATGGGACGAGAGGTCAGTGCGCCTGGACGCAGGCTCACAGTGTATTCAGTGGGAAGGCAGGGAGGCCGTTCTTCCAGTGCTGGTTCACTCCCAGGTGCCTGCAGCCGTCCCTGCTGCCCCGGGCATGTGTCAGCAAGTGGAGTGGGCACTCAGAGCTGGGCACCCCAGTGAGGTGCCGCTCGCCCCCCCGTGCCCAGTGCCTGGCCTGCTTACAGAGATGCCCTTCCCGGAGGTGTGGCAGCATCCTCACCGCACGCGCGTGGTATATTCCGGGAGCCACGCTTATGCTCTCAGCCTCGGGTCAATCCTGGCTGTGAGGCCGTGAGTTCTGCAGGGATCCCACAGGGGGCGCCCAGCTCCTCTGCCTGAGCGGCCTGCTTAGGGTAGAGTGGCCTGGGTGTGGTGTGGCCCCTGAGCTTTGAGCTGACCCTGTCACAGGCAGGAGTGGGCTGCTCTCCCATGCTCCTGGCTCAGAACTGGGAAGCCAACTGGTGCCACGGCACAGGGCACGCTGTGTGTGCTGCGGCAGCTTCTGCAGACGCTGTACCATGTCAGCCTTCCTTCCTGGCTCCTGGCCTGCCTGGGCCTGCGGTCACCTGGGTCTTCCATCCTGCGTCCTCCAGGCTGGGATGCCAGTGGGGTTCAGGATCCCGTGTGTGGGAGGGACTGGGGGTTTGGGCTGTGTTAGTGTCTGCAGCTGGCGTCCCGGCCTGGGAACCCAGAAGCTGTTGCATCCTCAGGCAGCTGCTGTGGCCGGTGGCCCCACGGCCCTTGGGTTCAGGGCAGCAGCAGGGCCGGGGGTACTTGCAGTGGTCCCTCCTGTGCCTTTGCCCCCGTCATGTCCGCCGAGGTGCACAGAGCGCCCCATTCCTCCCTGGAACCCGTGTCGTGTGGGTTGTGCTGGGCATGTGGTGTTAGGTCAGGGTGTACCCACAGGCACAGGGTCCCTGTTCCAGCCCCAGCGGGCCTCACTCCAGGTCAGGGAGGCCAGCCTCTGCCTGGACTCTGTCCCCTCTGCTTCCTGGGCAGTCCCAGGACAGCAGAGGGATGACGGGCCAGGAGGTGGTGGTGGCATCTCCCTGCCTGGCACAAGTCTGCCATTCTGTGCTGGATGGTGTCGACCTGCAGGGTTGGCAGGCCTGGCGCTGCTGGGAGTTGGTCACCAGGAGGAGGGGGTGTGGTTGCCATGGCCAGTGACATGGGGCAAATTTGCAGTCACTGAGTGGTGGGCATGCCGCTGATGGGCTCATTGCTCCCTCCGCAGACACATCAAGCAGTTGCTTGACCTGCTGACCACCGAGATCCTGCACCCGGACAGTCAGGCCCCCAACGGCGTGAAGAACCACTTCGTTGAGATCTTCCTGGAGGAGCTGACCAAAGTGGGCGCCAAGGAGGTGAGGCGGGGTGGCTGTGGTGTGCATGCCGGGGCTCACCTGGCCACAGTGCACCTGCTGCGCCTGAGCCTCCCGCATCTGAACCAGCCTCTGCTGTCTCCCTTAGCTCACGGCGGCACAGACGCTCCTGTTTGTCGAGCCCTTCTGTGGGATCGCCGCCTCCACCAAGGAGTAGGTGTGGGGGCTGCATGGCCCTGACCCTCCCTCCCCCAGGGTGGGCGGTGTGGACCTTCTGGTGGGGACGTGGCTGCCTCTGACCCCGCACCACCCCGCAGTTCCCTGGTGCTGCATAACATCACTCGAGGCGTCTTTGAGACGATTGTGGAGCAGGCGCCTCTTGCCATTGAAGAGCTCGTGAAGGACCTGGACACGCAGGAGGAGGAGGAGGACGGGGAGGACGGGGAGGAGGATGCGTCAGATGGGGGTGAGGGTGAGCGAGCCAGAGCTGCCGTCTGGGGGGCCGCCCACAGCCTCTGGCCATCCTGTGGGCCTGTTCACTGTCCTCTAGGCTCCGCTGTCACCACTGGTCACCTCCTGCCCCTCCCACACCCGGTGACCCTTTGTCCAGAGCCTTGCTTTTGGGTGCTGTGGTCATCGTGGCATGGCCAGTCGTGTGTTGAGCCCGCAGCCTATGGTGGGACGTGGCTGCTCTTTACTCTGGCCCTGGATACCACCTTTGCCACCTGAAATGCCTGTGCCCGTCCCATGGCTCCCTGCGCCTCATTGCCGTGGGCAGGCTTGGTTCTGGGTGATGGCGTGGGGCCTGCCAGAACCAGGACAGCTCTCAGGCTCACAGTATCTACTTGTTCCAGCAGACACCGGGGATGGCGAAGGCCCTGTGCTCCAGGTAGGTGGCCGGGACTGCTGAGGGCGGAGGCTGACCTTCCCAGGGTTGGCTGTGGGGTCCTGGGCCCTGCCAGCGTATGGGGCTGCAGACGGGCTCCAGGCCTGGGTTTGCCCCATGGCAGTCCCTTCTGAGATGAGGCCATCGTCCTCTCTCCATCCATTCCAGACCCGCAGCCCCACTGGGCGCCGAGCGGCCGGCGTTAGGATCCCAGCTCAGCCGCAGCTGCCCGTGGGATGCTGACCACAGTGACAGGCCGTGAGCCTCGCCGTGTCAGCCCGCTCAGGCCCCCTGCCGCAGCTGCCTGTGGCTGTGGTTTCGCTCTGTTGTTTCCCGTGGAGCTGACTGGATGGCGCTCGCTGGCGGGCGGCTGTTATGGTGTCCTCTGTCATAGGCCCGGCGGGAGTGGTGGCGGGAGCCGGGGCCAGCGGCTGACTCGCCCTCTGCGGCGGCTCTCTTGGCAGTTTGACTATGAGGCCGTGGCGAACAGGCTGTTTGAAGTGGCCAGCCAACCTGGCACCCCTTCTCTGAACAGGAAGCGTCTCTACAAGGTGATCCGGAAGTAAGTGTGCCCAGTGCCCTCAGCCAATGGGGGTCTCCAGCACTCACTGGGGGGTCCCTAAGCCAGGCACTGCTGCCCAGGGTGCTGGGCACTAACAGCGCTGTGTGTCTGGCTCTTGCAGGTTGCAGGACCTGGCTGGAGGTGAGGAGCAGGCCTGGCTCAGAGAGTGAGCCCGACTGGGGGGCTTGCATTCCCGTGGGATTGGACTGGTCCTGAGGGCCCCGCAGCCCAGTGGTCTGTGAGAGGAAGCAGGGCTGAGGGTCCTGCAGCCCAGCTCCAATTCCGTCAAGGCCCAGGACAGTGGCTCCGCCAGCATGCTCTGTGGGGCACCTCTGCCTGCGGCACTGACCATCAGGCCTTCCTGGGGACATGCATCCCTCCTGGCACCGCCTCCCTGGGGTGCCCCTCAGCAGCTCACATGGTGTGGCCACCTCTGACCCTGGCACTAGCATTGTCCTGTCCTGCTGGCCCATGTTCTGGGCCATCCCCATGCCTGAGATGCACCTTGCTTGCACTGAACTGTTCGTGCCAGGCGGGGCTGTGGTGCCAGCAGACAAGGTCTGTCCAGATCCTGGCTGTGGGCAGTACTGAGCAGACAGTGCCAGCTGCAGGTGTGCAGGGGGAGCTGGGGGCTCCCCGTGACCGTGTGCCCCCTTAGGTGTCTTCCCGGAGGACGACATTCCAGAGGAGGCCTGCAGGAAGCTGCTGGAGAGCAAGCGAGAGAGGAAGATAAAGAAGATGATGAGGAAGAAGATGAGGAAGAAGCAGAAACGGCCCCCGTCTCGGTCCTCAGCGCTGCCACAAGAAGGTGAGCTGCGGGGCTCAGCATGTGCCGTGCCTAGGGGCAGCTTCCCTGCCGGGCACCTTCCCTGGGCTGGGCTCCCTGTGCTGCTTCCCCGGTCCTCGGGTGTGGGGTGATGGGCACTGTGCTGGGAGTGGCGGGCTGTGTGCGGGGCCCATGCTGTGAGGAGCCTCCTTCCTCAGGCGAGCTGTCTCTGGCCTCTCCCTGCGCCCAGCTGTCTCGCCCCGCCCCCGCACCTGTGGGTAGTGGTACCCACCCTGTGCTGCTCCTGGCCACGCCCCAGCACTGGCCTTTCTGAGGCCCAAACTGAAGGCCAGACTTGGGGCACCTGCTGTGCCTGCTGGATGCCCTGAGCCTGTACAGAGGTGACCACAGTGCACACTCTTGGCACATCGCCCCGCCTCGCTGTTTCCACAGGGGAGGGTGAACCAGCTGCAGACCCAGAACTGAGGAAGAGGAGCAGGAGGAGGGGCAGGGGGGCCGGTCCCTTGGCATGCAGCGGAGAGCAGCCCACCAGCCGGCGGCAAAGAGACAGCAGTGCCCGCAAGAGGAAGCCACGGCCTCAGCCCCCATCTGGCACCCCAGCTAAGGGGGCAGCCGTCCAGGAGCCCAGGAGGAAGAAGCAGCGGACACTGGCAGGCGGGAAGTGAGGCCAGGCTGCCGGGTCCACATAGACTGAGTGCCCAGGGTCCCGAGCTGCTGGGCAGCAGGGGGCGGCCAAGGTCAGAGCTCCAAGTCAGGTCACCTGCTGGCGAGGCAGCATGGGATGGGGCGGGGCTGGCCACTTTCACCAGCCTGCAGCTCATTGTGGCCGCTCCCCACGTGTCACCATGATGGACGTGGCCATCTGACCCGGAGGCAACCCTGCGCTGACCCCCCAGGCCATCCCTGCTGCCCACTCTGGCTCAAACACGCTTACAGAGCTGCCACCCTGTGCTGTCCTGCTCACTCCCAGGCGCCCTCGGGTCCGGGGTTGGCTGGGGCACATGGGGCTGGGTGGCACCGGTCCACCCCTGGGAGGAGGCCTTGCTGTCGAGCAGGCCACGGGGAGGCCGCTCTGCTGCTCAGGGGCTCTGCCTGGAGTTGAGCTCCTGGTGGCAGGCAAGTTGGAGGGCATCTCCACAGCACCCCACACGTGGGCCACTTGTGGCTGCTCACTTGGCTTTGCCCAGGGGTAGGGCTGACCTGTCAGACACTGTTCGTCTGACAGGGTTGTCAACAGGTGTGGGGACCCAAGACTGACAGACACAGACCTGGCCCTGCAGGGGGTGGGGTGGCGTGGCCAGCGCAGGCTGTGGGTCAGGCCTGGCCTCACCCTGTGGGGTCTCCTGGTCATTGCCCCACGAAGCACCAGGCTCTGGGGGCATGGGGGCTGTGGGGGAACTGGGGTTGTGGTCCGTGTTCCCCTAGCAGCACAGCGAGGCCCTGGTGTCTCTTATAGGCCTCAGAAGAAAGCCCGGGGCCTGGGCTGGCACCTGTCCTCCACACAACACCGGGTCTTGGCACATGTGACCTCTGCCGCGAGGGCTTCTGCTCATGGCCTTGGAGGCTCGCTGTGTGTGCCACCAGTCCCTGAGCTGGCCCTGTACGGCCACTCCCAGAGCGTGACTGTCAGACACGACCTGGGTTATATTTCTGTTCATAGTCCTCAGCCAGTGGTAGAGCTCTGGGGACCAGGCCGTGGCATGTGGTCCCAGGGGCACATGTGCCCCCTGCAGCGGCCACTGGGACAGCCTGAGGTAGCAGCCTGGAGCTGGCGAGAGCCAGGACCACTCAGCCTGCTGTGTGTTGGTGCCTCTACTGGTCATCTGCCTGGGGCGGGCTGGCAACCAGGTCTCTCGCCACCTTACACTGCCAGCTGTGTCACCCCATCCTGTGTCCTCTGTTGTCTGGGTCACTTCCACAACCGTGCTGTGTAGCCACCTCCCTGTCCTGTGTCCTTCCATCTGCCGTCTCTAGGGGCACCACTTGCCCTCAGCGTGTCCACTGGGGGCCACAGAGGGGTCCTGTAACCCTGGCTAGGGTGGGAGGGAGGCTGCAGTCCCCTGGTGGGGGCAGGGACTTGCAGACTCCACCCAGCATTCAGGCTGGGCCCTGCTTTCCGCTGAGCCCTCACTTCCAACTGCTGGCCCCTCGCAGGGGCCCCCTTGTGCTCAGCTGTGCTCATCTCTGCACCTGCCAAGCTGGCCTGCATTCTTTGTCAGCTTCCACTTGGTCACCCTGCACACCTTCTAGGTGCCTCTCACGTGGTGGCAGGCTGCTCAGTGGGAGCGCCCCCGTGTGGCCCCATGGCAGGCGAGGTGCACACGGTTCCACGTCCTTCTGTGTGGCCTCTGAGGGCCCAGGCTTTTCTGTTGGGGGAGGGCTGGTGAGCTCTCGGGTTCCCAAGGAGTCCCTGTTACACAGGTCCTGAGTCCTGGCCATGGGGTTCTCAGCCTCCCCCGCAAGGTGGGAGACCAACTTGGTCCCTGGTCATCTCTGCACCTGCCAAGTGGCAGCCTCAGCCTCCCCCCTTCCCCACTGCCAGGCAGTGGGGATGGGATCACTGCGGGTCATCACCAAGGCTTGCACCAGCTCCCAGCCCCTGCACAGGGGTGGGGGCAGCATTGCCCCTTCATTCTTATACCCTCCACTCGTTGCAGTGTGCTTGTAGGCAGTGCTGGCTGCTGCTGCCTGCCGTGGCCACACTCCCTTGCCCGGTGCCATGCCTCTGCCAGTCCTACTCAGGACTTGGGCTGTGGCCACCTTCATCCAACCTCCACCAACTCCCCCTGGCTTGTCTTTGCACTAGCAGGTACCACAGCCCAGCCTGGTCTGTCTCCAGACCTAACTCTGATGTGACCCGGCAAGGTGCTGTGGCTTAGCCTGTCCTGTTCCACACCCATTCTGGCTTTTGCAAATGCCTGTGGGTGCTGCTGGAGCCTAGCCAGCAGGCATGCCCCCCAGCCTCAGCCTGTACACCAGCAGGTGGCAGACAGTGCTACTTAGTCCAGCCCAAGATTCCCATGAGAGCAGGTACGTGGCCTGAGCCAGACACGCCCTCCGGCTTACCCCTCTAAACAGCTCCATCTCAGCTCCCTCATATGCCTGAAGTGGTTGCCTGGTCTGTGGAAACCCCCAGATATCACCCACCACCTATCAAGCATTCCCTTGGTGTCCCACGCCCCCAGAGCCCTTCCTCGGGGAGTCGCAGCCCCCTCTGCGACGGCAGCTTCCTAGGGGCCAGGACAGTGTATCCCCCGCTTTCTATTGTGTTGGGCCTGTGCCCTGGCCCGGGATTCCATACATGTCTTTAGGAAAATGGAGTAAGCAACTGTGCTGGCGCACTGGTGTAGTTAACAGTTGGCACTATCCAGGCCCACGGTACCCACCAGCTACTGGCTGCTCTTGCAATGTAATACTTGCCCAGGCACAAGTCAGCCTAGACAGTACAGCAGGGGGCTGGTGTAGCTGCTAAATAGCCTGTTCTACCTTGCTGCCCAGTACTTCATATAGGTGCCAATCATGTCCCAGCTGCCCCATTTCCCATCCAGCTCCCTGCCTGTGGCCTGGGAAAGCAGCGGAGGATGGCCCAGAGCCCTGGGACCCTGCACCCATGCGGGAGACCTGGAAGAAGCTCCAGGCTCCTGGCTTCAGATTGGCTCAGCTCTGGGCAATGTGGCCATTTGAGGGATGAACCGAAGAAGGAATATGTTTCTGTCTCTCCTTCTCTCTGTAAATTTACCTTTCCAATAAAAATAAATCTTTTCTTTTAAAAATACAGATTCTGATTCCACAGATCGGGGTGGGATCTGAGATTCCGCACTGATTTTTACTTGTCTAAGAGCTCGTCCATCTGCTGGTTCACTCCCCAAATGGTCACAATGGCCAGGGCTGGGCCAGCCCGAAGCCAGGAGCTTCTTCCAGGTCTCCCAGGTGGGCGCAGGGCCCTGACTACCTGAGCCACCCTCCACTGCATTCCCAGGTGCATTAGCAGGGAGCAGTGTGGGATGTGGAGCAGCTGGGGCCTGAACTGGCACCTTCAGGGGCTGCAGCACTGCAGGCTGCATTAGGCCATAGCACCGTCACTCTTAGCCTCAAGCTGCACCCCAACAAGGGTGTTGAGAGCACAGGGACTTGGTGCCATGCCTGCGGCTACACCCAGGCCCTGCAGCTCACTGGCCAGCACTGGCCATTTTTCTGGTCTTTCCCTAAAGTCAGGTCCAGAGCTGGAGTGATAAGGACCACAGATGGGAGTCCAGGCCAGGCGAGCTGACCATCTAGGCATGGCAAGGACCCTGAATGCAGATCTGGCCTGGTTGCCCAGGGCAGAATCGGGGTCCAGCTCGGCAGGTGCACAGCGCAAGGGTGTAGCTTCCACAGGACCACGTTAAGGGCTAGCAGCCCCTATCCATCCAGCAGACAGTTGCTGCTGCCACCAGGGCCGCAACCTGGCAGACACCCAGAGCACAGGCCGTGAGTGATCATGTGGGTGTGGGCGGGGCTGGGACCGCTCTCCATGGCTGTCCCTATGTCCACAGTAGGCCAACCCTAACTGTGGCCCTCAGCCCTGCCCTCCAGTGTAGCTGCCAGGGTCATCACAGGGCAGGAGGTGGGTGCCCCCGGGATCCACTGGGTGTAGCCGCCACACCCTTATCTTGCCACAGCCCCCTGCCAGCCACAGCCCATCTGGGGCAGTGACCAGTCAAAGAGCTTATCTCTGAACGCCCTGGGGGAATTCCAACTGCCGTTGTCACAGCCCAGGACCTTGGGGTGGCGGGGTTGGGACTGCCTCTAGCCCCACCGCCTTGCACATGCGGTGTCCATGCATGTGAGGGGGCATCCATGTGCCCACGCACTGGACCAGCTCCTAGCGAAGCTGCCTTCAGTTTGAGTGTGTAAATGTAGGTTTGGCGTTTTCATTGCTTTTATTTATTTATCTAGTGGGCAGAGCTACAGAGAGAGATTGTTCATCTACTGGTTCACTCCCCAAGCGGCTACAACGGAAGGAGCTGGACCAAGCCAAAGCCACGAGCCACGGGGTTTTCCCCATGAGTGGGGGACCAAGCACTCAGGTAGCCAGCTCCCTGACCATGCTCCTGCCATGTACCAGTGTGCTGTGCTAGGCTGAGGCAGGTGGCCATCGGTCTGCCTGCTGAGCGGATCTGGCCAGCTTGTGTCCTCGTCCAAGGTCACCAATTAGCCTGGCTCCCCATAGCCCCTCCCCCACTGGCCTGGAGCCTGGTCAGGGGTTCCAGAGTCTTAGGGCTTCAGCACCTGCAGGAACCCCTCTGGGCATGGCTGCTGCGTGACCCCAGGGTCATTTCTCAGGACGGTCTTGGTGCTCTGCAGGTTAGCCCAGCTCTCAAGTATGGCAATCAGGGAGAACCCCTCCAGGGGCTGGCAAAGTCCACCCGAGTGACTCCTTGGGGAGGTCTCCCACTGTCCTGCAGCCTCATTATGAGGTCCCGCTGGGGTGCCCAGCTCTGCCACCTGCTCTGCACCAGCGCTTCACTGGACCCCACTTCTGAGCCTCAGCTTCCGTGGTACACACCCCACGACCCCGCTTTGCTGACAGGTATTCCCCGCGGCCTAAGCAGCCCACGGCAAAGGTAAGCTTGCCTCAGTGCCTGCCAGTGTGGGTGTGTGCCAGGGCTGAACCCACTCGGGGGTCACGACGGCCCCCACGCCGCCCAGCAGGGTCTGCTCGGCTTCAAGTGGTTACAGTTGTTCAGAGGGCAAATCCCATCCAGCTCAAGTCTTCAGGATCAGAGATGGGGCCAGCCAAGGACAGACAGTGCTGGCTACACCCACGCCAGGGCCCAGCTGGGTGCCCCCTAGCCCGCTGTAGTTGGTGTTTAAGGAGCGTCACACTGGGTGTGCTCGTGGGAAACCCAACCGCTACCCCCAGCACACGACCAGTTCCAGCTCTTCCTCCCACAAACTCGCCGGACATGCTCATGTGTGGCTTGTTTTATAGATGTATTTATT